TGCAAATGAAGTAAAATGTGTGCTTACATACATATGCATGCATGAATTATGAATACACCAAACTATAAATATAACCCATTAGTGCCAGCATGAAGCACAAAAGTAGCACATTTTTATGGTCTCAACATCTTAATTAGCATAAAAGGCATAACATTGTAATTAAATAATTATTGATTAACACAAAGACAGAGAAGCCAGATGTGTTGAATGGGCTTAGTAATTAACTAAGTAAACTACAGGTGTTTAAAATTCATAGCATACAAATGAATGTATACTTATTTTTTAATCATCTGTAGGCAAATCTTAGTGTATTCAGGTGCAGCAATTATGTACCATAAATGTCAATATCTGTGAATGTACATTATACTTTCACAAATAATATTTGAGGCATCACTGGCATGAAATAGTTTCAGTGCTCCAATGCTTGGTGTTTAGAAGGCTGTTGTTCCAGGGACATTGCTGATTCTGCTCTTTGGACCTGATGAACAACGAAAGTAGACAAAACCAGTATAAACGAAGGCTTGGCTAGTGAATGGACAACTAAAAGGTAAACACGGATAAGAGAAGAGGAGCTTGACATGTACAGGAAAACAAAAGTTTTCCCTGCAAATTGAAGGGTTTTTGTTAACTTTTACTGTGCTTTCCCCACCCACCTTTAAGGTGGCCCTTCAGTAAAAGTGGGCTTCATTGTCCTGGCCAGGAAGCTCAGTTGGTTGGAGTGTCTTCCATACACCGAAAGGTTGCAGGTTTAATTCCCAGTTGGGGTGAGTCTGAGAAACAATTGATGTTTATCCCTCACATGGATGTCTCTCTCTCTCTCTCTCTCTCTCTCTCTCTCTCCCCCTCTCTCTCTCTAAAAGTCAATAAAAACCTATCCTTGAGTGAGGATTTTTTAAAAGGTGGGCTCTATTCACATCATTTCCTCTATGGAATTAATCATTTCTTTAGAGCCATTATTAGGAACCTGGGAGTTTTTGTTTGGTTCCTTCCAACAGCGATCAAATGGCTCAGAAAAGCTGTAACTATTGGCTACTGATGGCTCTTAGCTTCAGAGAATTGTCATCAGCCAATGAGACCCTTTCTGCTCAGTCCCTGAGTCATCCTTAATTGATCTCTTCATCTCATCTCCACATGCTATTCTGCCTCCAAAAGATGTTTCACCTCTCTGTTCTGCCCCTCTCTACTGCTATCACCTTTCTCCTAGTCACCATACCTGCTATAGTAACCACCTAACTGGCTTCCACTTTTAATCCATTTTCTCTACAGTTATTAAAATGATCTTTTTAAAAAATATGCAAGTGATATCAATATTTGATTTCCCAACTGGACTTGGAGTAAAATCCAGACTCTTTAGCATTTCTTGTTTCCTATTGCTTTAACCTCATCTTCTATGACTCTTGCCCTCCTCTCACCTTCACTCTAGCTACATAGACCTTCAATTGGTCCCTGGAATATTTATTTTATTTTTTAATATATTTTTATTGATTTAGAGAGAAAGGGAGAGGGAAAGAGAGTTAGAAACATCAATGATGAGAGAGAATCATTGATCAGCTTCCTCCTGCATGTCCTTCACTGGGGATTGAGCCAGAAACCTGGGTATGTGCCCTGACCAGGAATCGAACCTTGACCTCCTGTGAAGGAGAAACATCAATTGATTGTTTCTCATACTTACCCTGCCAGGGATCAAACCTGCAACCTTTTGGTATACAAAAGACACTCCAACCAACTGAGCATAGGTCGATGCTCAACCACTGAGCCTCACCAGCTGGGCCAATCCCTGGAATATTTAGACCTCTTTGCTGTCTCATGATCTTTGCACTTGTAGTCTTTTCCCAAATCTTCACATGTCCAGTTCTTTCTCATCTAAAAGTTTTAGCCCAAATGTCAGCTATTGGAGACGCCTTCTCTGACCATTCCTCATTCCCATCACCCTTCAGCACATCATTTTCTTTTTGTTAGTTTTTGCAATGTATTATTATTATTGTTTATTTGTTTACTTTATTACCTATCTTCTCCATTAGAATATATGTTTTATCATGAGGCCTGGGATCATATTTTATGTTCACTCTTAAATCCCAATGCATATCTCATATGTGAGGAATTCACAGGGCAAAGAAACTTTAGCTTGGGTGCTTAACTAGTAAAGTATCTAAGCGGAGTTTGAGCTTAGAGTGGTAAGTTAGTAAAGAAGTAGCAAGGTTTGTTCAATAGGTTCTGGGCCCTTAATTCCCTATCTCTGGTGATAGAAAGTCTCTGTACCTTCTGATGCAGGTAGGGTACCTTTCACGTGGGATATTTATTTCCTGCTTTCAGAGGATGGAGAGAAGGGTCAGAGCGTTCTTGCACTGACTGTTTCTCAAGGAACTTTAATTAAAAATAATCAGTGTGCCACTTTGGCATATTTGGGGGTGGCCTGCCCTTAATCCCAACATATTGCTGTTCTCATTCAAATTTTAATACAATCATTGCAAAGAATAGTGCAGTTTGTAGTGCCAACAAATTAAGTGAGAAGTACATTGAGAGATTTTATGAGTGTAACAAATATGTATCATTAGTTCATAAATTCACTTTTGTTTTATTCGTATAAATTTTAGTCAAAGTCATGTTGAAAGGAACTTACAGTCTGCAATAGAAATTGCTATAAATTTTGAGATGATGCTAGTTCATCCTGAACCTAATGAATTCTTATTAAAATGGGAGACAATAATACTTCTGTAGTTATCAAGACTAACTGTAAGAGATTAAACTTGATGGCCAGGAAAGGGAGCAGTCATTGTACAGGTTGCCTGCAGGTAAACTGTCTTGTGCTCAACTTAATTCACTAGCAAAAGCAATTATTTTTCTACAATATATTCCTCTTAGAGCATTCCTGCAAATGACTCAAGTCCACAACCCCCCAAAAAAACGATGTAAAAGGTTTTATTATCAATAAAGTGCTGTAACTGTGAAGGTAACTGAATGATATGTGTAGCAAACCAACCACCAAAGAGAAAGAGATAAAGTGTTTTATTTTTGATGTAATCTGAGGCATCCTTATAATAGTACTTTGAGTCCCTGAGTTGAGGAAAATCTAAAACTGTAGAGTAACTTTGCCTGCTGGTGTGAACTGGAAGTGTCTCTAACCTCATGATTCCTGTGCATCACAGCAGAGAATAACAGGGGAGGGTTCCCCCTGTCCTTGCTCAGAGAGTTCTCCTGATTGTCTTCAGTCCTGGCCACATGTAAGTTCAAGGGCTTTGCACTTCACACCAGCTTCCCCTATGTTTTCAGAGTTCCAAACTCAATTCCTGGCACTTAGAAGTGTCCTACGCACTGAGGTGGGGATAGTCCTCAGTCCTACTGAGGTGGGCCTGGGCATCATTTGAATTGTACCATCAAAGGGCAGTCTCTGGGCCTCTAAGCCAAGACCATGTGTGGTGCCCACTTCAATATGTCCCCCTGGCGCTAGTGACAACAGAGTTTGCTCAAAGTGGTGGCTATAAAATCAACATAAACTGACCTTGCTCCTGTGTCCACAGCTTCCCTGCAGGTCTAGCCCCCTGGTCTCCCAACCTCCTTGCCCTGTCTCCATCATCACACTTCCTCCTGCTCTGCACAGGCAGGAAGCTGTAATCTTTCATTTACTTGGGAGTCTAGAACCATCTATTCTTTTCAATCTATTATTGTGACAAAAATATTTTGATCTTAGTCCTTCTGACACCCCACAAACACTACAGGGCCTCTCTTGAGGATTAAACACTTGGGCTGTTGTCTCTGCCAAGAGGTCTGAAGGGTTTGTTTTTTTTTTGAGATGTATGTGTTGGGTATTGCCTCCTTTGTTCTTTTGCTCTGGCTGTGGTGGAATTTTCTGGAAACAAGTAAGGAGAAAGGACTTAGCTCCCTTCAGAGTATGAGGAATTGTAAGGGTTTGGGGGGAGTACACAGTAGGCAATGGGATAGTACCAGGTCATACCTAAAGGTACAGACTGCATAGGATCAAGTGCTGGGCTGGCCACTAAATAGGCAAGTTATTTAATTTATTCATTAGCTAAATGGGCAGTTTATTTTACCTCTCTGTGACTTACTTTTCTCATATGTATTAGTTTCTCATTATTTCACTCTAACAAATTACCACACACATGGTGTCTTAAACAACAGAAATTTATTCTCACAGTTCTGGAGGCCAGAAGTCTGAAATCAGTTTCACGGGGCTGAAGTCAAGGTGTTGGCAGGGCCATGTTCCCTCTGGAGCTTGAGGGGAGAATCCTTTCTTATCTCATCCAGCATCTATTGGTGCCAATGTTCCTGGGCTAATGGCCACATCACTCTGATCCCTGCCTTCATGGTCACATTGCCTTCTCCTCTTCTTTCTTGTATCGAGTCTCCTTCTGCCTCCCTCTCAGAGGATGCATGTGATTGCATTTAGGCCCTCTCAGATAATCCAAGATAATCCTCCCATCCTGTGATTCTTAACTCAATCACATCTGCAAAGTTCTTTATTGCCATAGAAGGTAAAATTCCTAGGTTCCAGGGGTAGGATTTGCACGTGTTTTGGGAGAGCTATTATTCAGCCTATTATAAGTTAGGTTGGTAATAGTATATACATGAAAATTAGAGGATATAATATATGAAAAGTACTTAGAAAGATGTCTACATGCAATAAAGCACTCAATAAATGTTAGCACATGATGGTGATATCAATGATAATGAAACAAGAAAATGCAGACAAAAAGTTTCAAAATGAACAAAATAATCTTTAAAATGAACATAGGTAGGGGGCCTCATCTCTGGACTCTTGATGTGTGCTAACCTTGGAATGTTCTTATTCAAAAGATTGTATCTCTACACCGTTTAGGCATGTGATACCTATAGTCACGTCTGGTTTTGTCTTTGTTAATTTGCACTTGAAATTTAAATCATTTCAACAATTTCAACCATCCTGAGTTCTCCCGAAGGAGAAAATCAAAGATATGATTTGATATGATTGTCACCGTCTGTTCCCTTGTCTCCTGCCCACCTAGGATACAGACCTAATGACATTCAACATTTCTGTACATCGGTCATGGTGGCGGGAACATGGGCCTGGCTGTGTCCGAAGAGTGCTGCCCCCATCAGCCCACGGCATGATGGACGATTACACGTACGTCTCTGTCACAGGCTGCATCGTCGACTTCCAGTACCTGGAGGTCATCCACAGTGCCATCCAAATCCTACTTTCTGTAAGTGTCACATCTGTGTCATTGTCTGATCAGGACCCTCCTTTAGTGGCATTTTGTATCTAAACCTTCTGTCCAGGGACATGGAGATAGTATCGATTATGCTAACATCAGTTATACTTAATGGCAGGTGACATCTTTTTCCAATAGGTATCCAGACACGTTGTCTCTAGAACCAGTTAGTTGCTGTCCTTTCTAGCTTGAGATACAATCCACCCATTCAATGAAATAGTATCACTGTTTCCCACCCAATGCCTCAGGCTTTTCTACTTCCCTTCTACTACAGCTTTAACTTCTCATGCGTTCTTTTAGCAATGCACATTAGCTCTAGAGAAAGAAGATGGAAACACAACAATCAATGGTTTGTTCAATCTAGTAAATTTCACATTTCAAAAAATCATTCCTTAAGAGAACAAATCCCGGAGTGTGTTACACATTCTGATGCCTAAAATTTGGGGTCAGGACCCAGCTCCACCTAGAGCAACACAGAGGAAATGGCTTGATTGGACCACAGAAGGTTTATGTGCTTGAAACTTCTTAAAGTTAATTTATTTCCACCATGCTATCCCACCCACAGTTTGATCACTGTGGAGTGGAATTAATTTAAGCTATCTACCATCATCAATAATGCTATTTATTTGAGATCCAGCAGGTACTTGGCATTTTGTTTGAGTCAATACGCAATAAAGCCATTCTTAACCGTGCTCTTCACATAAACTAACTACCTCAACCCTATCTAGCTGGTTAAAGTCAGAAAGAGAGCTATAGACTCAATAATAAATTAATAGATGACAGAAATATAGGTGTGTGTCAATGAAAAAATGTACCTTGGAATTATTTTTAAGAAGAACTTTGAGAAATCCCTGATATCATTTACTGTATCTGTTATCTACTGCTGTGTAACAAAATGCTCCAAAATATAATAACTTAGAATAATACCAGTTTATTGCTGAGAGTTCTGTGCATCAGGAATTTGGACAAGGCTCCACTGGGTAATTCTGTTCCATGTGATATTGGCTAGGATCACTCATGTGAACCTTCCCACCAAGAGCTCTACTGTGGCTAGAATATCCAAGAAGAACTCACTCAGATGTCTGGTGCTGGCTGTTGGAAAAAAATTGATAGGCTTTCTTATAGCAAGGCACCTGAATTCCAAAAGAAGCCCAATATGCAAGCATTTTCCCACCTGTACAGGCAAAGCTCATTTTATTGCTCTTCACTTTATTGCAGATTTTGCATTTTACTAATTGAAAATTTGTGGCACCCCTGCATTGAGCAAGTCTATTGGCAGCATTTTTTAATGTTATGTATATATTTCTATATATTTTTAATTAACTTTATTGAGGTGACATTGGTTAATATGATCATACAGATTTCAAGTGTGGGTTCTATGTTACAAGAACTGTATATTGCACTGTGTGCTCACTACCCAAAGTCAAATCTCCTGTCACCATTTATTAGATCCCCCTTCACCTCCACCCCTTCCCTCTGGAGACCACCACACTGCTGTTTGTGTCCATGAGTTTCAGTTCTTATATTCCACATATGAGTGAAATTATATGGCTCTTAGCTTTTTCTGACTGATTTGTTTCACTTAGCATAATATTCTCATCCTTTCTTGTGGCTGAGTAGTATTCCATTGTGTATATGTGCCACATCTTCTTTATCCAGTCCTCTGTTGCAGGACACTTTGGTTGTTTCCATTTCTTGGCCACCTTGAACAATGCTGCAATGAACATAGGTATGCATATATTTTTGTGAATACATGTTTTTAAGTTTTTCAGGTATATACCCAGGAAAGGTATATATTTCCCAACAGGCTCAGATTATGGTTAGCATTTTTTAACAGTAAAATGTGTTTAATTAAGGTATGGAAATTGTCTTTTTAGACAGAATTCTATTGCACACTTAACAGATGAAAGTATAGTATAAACATAAATTTTGTAAGTACTGGGAAACCAAAAAAAAAAGTGACTCGCTTTATTGCAATATTTGCTTTATTACAGTGGTCTGAACCTACCCCCAATATCTCCAAAGTATGCCTGTACTTGAGTAATGCTTACTACTGTCTATTTGGCTACAAGCCCTCAGATGACTGATATGACTAAGCCCAGAGTCATTTTGGGAGGAACTATGGAAAGTGAGACTATTAGGAAACATGGCTTATTTGGGGCCACTGATGCAGCGATCTCACCTCACTTTATTAATTATTGTTCTTTAACCTGCATATGTCAAGTTTTAAGATAGTGTTTTAGAGCACATTTTAATTAGAATGTTTTTTAAAAAACTAATGATTCAATTTTTTAAAAAAATCAAAGATCTTTTAGTGTTTTGTTCACTGAAAGCCAAATTTGACACTGAATTCAAAGAAGGAGGTTGTACCCAATGCTAAGGAATTTTCATTCAGAGATATAACAGGGAATCTGCTTATTCTTGGTTTCTATGATCATTTTTAAATACACTGTCATTTGTCAATATACGTCTATCAATCTTTCCCTATTCTATGATCTTTCTTTAACCATATATATATATATATATATATATGATTAATTAATCATATATTTATTTATATATACATATATATACACACACACACACACACACATACAGGGGTAGGTATGGAAAAAGATATGCAGGTTAAAATTATTACAATGGCTTTATTAACTCAAAAGAATGTTATAATTGTAAACCTACTTTTGCCCACCCCTATATGTGTGTGCAGGCGCAGGTGTCGGGGGGGGGGTGTAGGTGTGTGTGTGTGTGTGTGTGTGTGTGTGTAATATAAGATTTTTTTAAATGTGGAGGCAAATTTTCTCTTAAAATTTTTCAGCCTATTTTATGGTAAAAGAGTACTCTATTATCATATACTAAATTATAAAGGTTCTTATGGAAACATTTTTCTACAATATTTCATAGGTGGAAAAATCCTCCTCCTTTTAAAAATTATTCATATAAAATTGCTAAACCATTTCAAGGAATGATGGCATGATGTCTAAATCTTTAAAATACAGCAGGATGCTATGGAATCAAAAAGTCATTTACCCATAGGAACCCCGGTCACTTGAAAAGCAAGGTGAAAGTATTCATTTGATAAGGAGCTGAACTGTCACATAAAAACCTATGCTCAAGAAATACTGAATTCAGTGTATGTTGCCACTAAAAGTGCTTGTCATTTATAAATGAATTCCTCAATATATTACTTTAGTGAACATTCAAAGCTGACCACCTGCATCCATAGTCAGGACTCTATTGGTCAGCCTTCTGGAAAAAAAAAAAAAAGATTAGTTGTTGATCTCTGGCTTTTATTGTGTAATATACCTACAAGACAAGATTTCCAATATTATTTTAGATTACAATGAAATATATCCTGAATATTTCACAACTTTCAAATTATGTATTGTTGTCTTTGATTTTAGATGTGTTTCTTGCACTTTCCACTTATTTCATAGCAATATATTTACAATTATGAGAATTGTGTTTTTTAAATCTTATAAAAAGGAGATACTTCCTGCATAAGTTGTCTAAAACTAATACTAGTGTATGTCATTTGTACACAGCATCTATGGGTTTTAATAACAAAATATGTGAGCATTTAAAATTCATATTCCTCTTATATCATAACATTCTCTTTAGTAGTGTGTGTACGATTGGATTTTACTCTGTATGTTAATCATTTACCACAGACATTTATGTCTCCAACCACAAATTCCATACCACTTCCAACAACAGAATTAAGTCTCCCAAGACCCAGACGCTCATAATTATCCCACACGTTTGCAGGTCTTCATAAATTATTACTGACCTACTAGTTTTAAATAATCTGCTAAACATTGACTACTCAATGCAAAAGCGAGCTAAAACATTTGGTGGACTTAAATACAATTTCAACAGAGCAATGCGAAGCTTAGTTAGGAATCATATCTAGAAAATATGAGAAATATTTAATAATTAATCAAGACAAACATTGTGATTGAAGTCTTATGGAGATATTAGAATCAAGAAAACTAATGTTACTGATGTTTTATTTAAGGTAATTTAATGTCATTCACAGACATTTTATCTTTAGCCCTAGGTGTGAATAATTATTAAATTGGAGAAAAGTAGCTTTCATAAGAACAAGAATTAACTTTTAAAATATTTACACTGTCCCTTTAAACACATTTTGTGTAAATTCCGCACAGAAAAAAATCTTAATGCCATTTTTGTATTCTTTCTAAATGAAAACAGGCAGATTATCATTCATTCAGAAAAACATACTCAGTAAATCCCCACTGTGTACAAGGCACTATGCTAGGAGCTTTGGGGATGAGAGGATAGAATTAAACTGACAAAGTTGAATTAGACATGATCCACCCATGTTATCTGTCAGTCTATGAGGGGAGATCAGACAGCCATCAAAGTGCCATAGGATGGACAGAAAATGGGAGATCCATAATTAAGATTCTAAGTGCCTTCAGAGCTCATGAGAGGAAATAATATTCAGGGAAGCTGAGATATTTAATTTAGGTCCACAGAGTTTACTCTTGGAAGTGAACTTGTCTTTTAGTGGCTCAAACTTTAATATTTCAAGGACATCCCAAATGAGTTACTGGAGGGATTACAGAAGCTTACATTCATGCCAGCACAGCGAGAATCAAGAATTCTGAGAGTTCAAGCAATTACCTCTTTGGGTCCATGAAAACAATATATTAAAGCATATCACAAGGAGCAAAAATGGAGGCATTCAGCAGAGTGAAAACAAGTAACAGGCTGGTTGTCCTGACAAGAGGGCAGAGAAACTCCTCCTGGATGGAGTTCATAGTCCCAGACAAAAGAGTTGCCTTGGCCCTGGTGTGGTGGCTCAGTTGGTTGGAGCATCTTCCCATACACCAGAAAGATTGTGGGTTTGATTCCCATCAGGGCATGTACAAGAGGCAACTGATAGATGTTTCTCTCTCACATCAATGTTTTTCTGTCTTTCTCTCTTCCTTCCACTTTCTCTAAAATTAATTTTAAAAACTTAT